AAAATTTAAGTTTTTGTCTTCAAAATTATCATAGAGGACGCATTTTAATTGTTTACAATTTTGTGGCGTCTTCCTTATGGCATACGTTTGCTTGTGTGGATCCTCCTTTGCAGTTGATTAAAAAAAATCATTTTTGGGGGGGTAGATTACATTGGATTTCACAAAATATATTGTTTTTGCCTAAGGAGGAAGGTGGGCAAGGACTCATACATCTCCAAATCAGGATTGCAACCTTTCATCTGCAGTTTGTGCAAAGACTGTTGGATGGACCTTCAACTTTTAGTGGGAGTGCTGTTTCATGCCAGCTTTTACATAGTTCTGCAGGGTTGGGGCTGGACAAAGCACTCTTTTTGATGGATCCCCTAAAATTGGACACCTCCATGTTGCAAATTTTTTATAAGAACATTTTTAGGGTTTGGCATCTCTTTGTTGTTCAACGACCGGAAAACTCACGTTCTCTTCATTGGTTACTCGAGGAGCCTTTGATTTATGGCACTCGGTTGAATTTAACAGACAGTTCCTTTTTTCCTGGACTTAGTAGGTTGCTGATTGAGCACAACATTATTACTCTGAGTCAGCTACTGAATATTGTAGGGCCAGATTTTAAGAATGAAACAGCATTAGCTCAACACTTGGGAATCAGGTCTATTCGTGTGGTTACCCAGTTGCTTATGAAATGGTAAGCTACCCTTAAAACAACTGAAATAGACTTTTTAACAGAGTACTGTGTAGGTTCACGTGTTCCTAATCCCAAAGACCCTTTTCCTTGTTTGTTTTTGTCTATAAATGTTGAAGGAATTACCTCCTCTTTCACTGAGTGTTGAATCTCTGTGTAAAGACTTTTTTTCAAGCACTTTTTTTCAAGCACTTTGTACAGGTCTTGTGTTTTGATTTTTAGCAAAAAGGTTTTAAATGCAAAAGTTGATACTCCTTGGCGTGATTTTTTTAAACTGGATGAAAGCATAAAACCTGAGTGGAGATCCTTATATAAACCACCGTTGACCAAGAGAACAGGTGATTTACAATGGAGAATTCTTCATGGTGCTGTCGCGGTTAATGCTTTTATTTCAGTTTTAAACCCTGAGGTTGCTTCTATTTGTCCTTTTTGCTCTAATAGAGAATGCTTTTACGAACTGTTGTAGATTGCAACCTTTATTTCTAGTTGTAAACCATGTTTTTAGGAGTTGTAATGAAACCTTTTCTCTGGAAACGTTTATTTTGGGGTTCAAATATGTGAGGAAAAAAAGACTTGTTTGTCAACTTCTGAATTTTGTTCTAGGCCAAGCAAAACTGGCCATTTATACAAGCAGGAAAAAGAAAATAGAACAAAATGTAAATCAGAACATAGTAGCTGCGTTTTCTAACTTGGTGAAATCAAGAGTTATGGTTGATTTTCTTTATTATAAGTCTAATGATGATTTTGTTACTTTTGAATGTATTTGGTGTTGTAATGAGGCTCTGTGTTCTGTTTTTGAGGGTGAATTGATCTTTACATTGTGATTTTATATGTGTGTGTGTGTGTGTGTGTGTGTGTGTATGTGCATTTTTTATTGTGTTGTAGGATTGTATTGTGAATAGGGTTTTTTTGTAATAAAGTTTTGTTAAAATTCAAATTCTCTCTTTCTTTCTCTCGCTCTCTCTCTCTCTCTCTCACACACACACACACACACACAGGTTTGTTTTTATGGTTTATGGGGACTCTCCATAGGCGTAATGGTTTTTATACTGTACAAACCATATTTTCTATTGCCCTACACCAACTCTACCCCTAAACCTACCACTCACAGGAAACTTTATGCATTCTGAATTATTTATAAGCCTTTTGAATTACAGGGACACTGAAAATGTCCTCATAAATCACCTTCTCGTTGTAATACCTATGTCATACCCATGTTATTATACAAATTTGTGTCCTCATAAACCACATAAACATGCACACACACACACACACACACACACACACACTTTGACTGTATGAGTGTATTTTTAATGAACACCTCTTCTTACAATAAAAAAAAAAATGTAGATTGGTCCCACTAAAGATTCCTGCACAAGAATGTTATATAGCCTCATTCAGAAACACTTGTTCCTGTCACATTCCCTCTCTCTCCCTTCCTCTCCTTCTCTCTCTCTCAGCAAGCCACGATGTACCTTCCACTCTGATGCCCTCACAGAGAGTTCAATCAGATGTCTTCCTTGGCTTATGTCATGCGTATTTTACACTCTAAATCTCTCTTTCTCACAAACACACCGGGGACACCTGCATATGTGTCTGCATATCTGTCTCTTTTGTGCATGTGGATCACGATATTTGGTCTTTTTAGTAGCACTAACAGCAACACTGGGGATTTGAAGCAGAAATATACACTTGTCAGCTGTGCACTCATAAATAAATTTTCCAAAAGGAATTTTGGGTTCCCCAAAGAATGTTTCAGTGATTAGTTCTTAAAATAATATTGTGTGCATTGGAAAGTTTCCATGGATGTTAAAGGTTATTCACAGAAAGACTGACAAAGAACATTTATTTTTAAAAGTGTAGTCACTGAGATCTCATCACCCTCTCCAAGCCCTTTGTACCATATGGTGTCATATTTATATATTATATAATACCCACAGCAACCTGCCTGAAATGTAGAAAAAAAAAACTGAGTACATACACAGAAGGTGTCCTTGTCACTGTAGCCTATTAGGTTTTTTTTAATTTTATAATAAATAAAAAGAAAACAAGTAAATAGAATAAAAGAATAACAGAGAACGCTAGTGTTAGAGGGTCATTGTTTGTTGTTGTTTTTTAATAAATAAAAAGAAAACAAGCAGATAGAACAGAAAAAGATCAGAGAGCGCTAATGTTAGCGGGTTAAGTTTTTTTATAAAAAATAAAATAAAAACTAGTAGATAGAATAGAAATGAAATAGAGAGTGCCCGTGTTAAGAGGGTCAATGTTTTTTTTTTAAATAAAAAGAAAAGTAGGTAGAATATAAATAAAACAGAGTGCTAGTGTTAGGGTCAATTTTTTATATATAATAAATAAAAGAAAACAAGTAGATAGAGTAGAAAGGGTTAGTTTTAAAGGGCTCATCGGATGAAGATCTGAGTTCCCCTTCAGGAACTCGAGCTGCGTCGGAAAACGCTTTGGGAACGCCCCCAGCGTGACCATGCTCTGAATCACATATGAAATCAGTCCAATACATGGGCGAGACGTCATGGGCGGGTGACATTGCGACCAGGAAGCTATAAAAGCACATGCGGTGGAACCGGCGTCAGCTTTTTGTCATTCAGCAAGCGCTCTGTGTGTGTGTGTCAGTCGCTATCTGTTTGTGAGTCTTATTTAGTGTTGTTTGTCCACTTATAAGCTCCATTATGCCAAGCTTCAGCAAAAAGAAGCATTTGGGCAAGAGCAGACAGCATTCAGGCTGTGTATTCCTCCCTGCCCGCGCTATATTTCGGGTGGGGACACGCACAGTTTTGTGTGTTGTCTGCTTGGGAGCGAAACACGCAGAGTCAGCTCTCTTGCGAGCGTTTGTTACTGCCTTGCTTCACTCTCAGAGGGCTCTCTTTGAGGAGGGAGCTTTCACCGGCGTTTCTCGCGGCGCCGGCCCCGCTTTCGCCGAGGCGGAGCGGCGACTGTGCTCGTGGGGTTTGCATATGGATCCGGTGGAAGGAATGTAGACGGGCGAGTCCCTATCTTCTTCCTCACCTACCAGATCCAGCGCCCGCTCTCGGGGTTCGGAAGCACGCGCTGCGGTTCTTTCCCCCCGGTGAGAGGGCTCGATGCTCCGCCTGTCTTCCTCCGAGGAGGTTGATATGGAGGGCGTTGACGAGCTCGCCAGTTGCACAAGCATCAGTTACACAAGCATATTATATCTAATATTATAATGAGCAGCTTACTGTGAAGCGGAGCTCGCGCAGTCAGCTCTCGGGAAAAAGAGCGGGGCTGATTGTGCTTTACCCGCGCACAAGCATTATGTCTGGGGAGCGGAGCTCGCGCAGTCAGCTCTCGGGAAAAAGAGCGGGGCTGATTGTGCTTTACCCGCGCACAAGCATTATGTCTGGGGAGCGGAGCTCGCGCAGTCAGCTCTCGGGAAAAAGAGCGGGGCTGATTGTGCTTTACCCGCGCACAAGCATTATGTCTGGGGAGCGGAGCTCGCGCAGTCAGCTCTCGGGAAAAAGAGCGGGGCTGATTGTGCTTTACCCGCGCACAAGCATTATGTCTGGGGAGCGGAGCTCGCGCAGTCAGTTCTTGGGAATAAGGGGCTGATTGTGCTTCTCCCCGCTGAACGCTCCACTCCCACCGGGCACGCTCCGAAGAGTGTGTCAGGGCTTGCAAGCTCGTGGTTCGGTCCCGCTATTGCTGAGGCACGGCGGCGATTCAGATCGTGGGGATCACACGGGGATCTAGCGGATGGGTTGGAGACGGCTTGCCCTTTCTCCGCCTGCACTCCCTAGATCCAGCGCTCTCTCTCGAGGCTCGGAAGCCCGTGCTGCGGTTTCTTCCCCCTCTGAGTGAGAGCTCTGCTGCTGTAGCTATTTTTCTCCAAGGAGATTTATATTGTTTGTGTGACCAAGCAGCTCGCGCGTGAGCTTACATCGTGTATTACATCATTTTCGATTATTGATATGAATCTTATTACACCAGACCGTGTTTACTCGTCTGGTTGTTTGATTGCATTTAATTCTGAGGAATAAAATGAAGTATTTATCTGACTATGAGAAGTTAGATATACAGGGGCTCTTGGGATAAAAATTTCTTGAGTAAGAGCACGTGTTTACCTCTCTTCCTCTGAGGAGGTTGAGGTGGTCAACAGGGGCAGCTGGGCGGGAGTAGCCCCAACCAACCGTGTTCCAGCTCCTCGTATAGGGAGCGTCACTTCTCATACTCCTCAGAATTTAGAGTCAGAGTGGCGCTCCCAGGCCGAAGGCTTCTAGCGGAAGGCGGATCTGCGAACCATCATTCCCACTGGATAGTCTTCAGCTAAAACATACTGACGCCTAAGGCCCAGGACTGCTGAGGGCCGGCCCCCTCTGGGGAAGAGCGGTGTACACCTCATTATACGGTGGCCGTCTCTCCTCAATGCTCTCAGGAGATCGATCTGCCAACCCTGCCACCTACGGTGCTTCAGGGCGCAGCGGTCTTCGGCGAGCGCTTCTCTCAGTCACCGCCCGGAAACGTAGCGGTACTAAGAGGCTCGCTACCTCTTGGGAGGTTTCTAGGGCAGCTAGTTCGGCCATTCCCTGCTGGTCCGCCACTTCAGGGCACCAACCTAGCTGCTCTAAGTGCCCCAGAGGCCAGTCTCGAGAGACTGGTTCACTTAGACTTCAGCTTAGAGAGTCCTGATGCCATGGCTCAGGTCTTTGGAGGGCAGGCCCCTCTGGGGAAGAGTGGTGTACGCCTCATTATACGGAGCCCACCTCCCCTCAGGAGATTGATCTGCCAACCCTGCCACCTACGGTGCTTTAGGGCGCAGCGGTCTCCGGCGAGCGCTTCTCTCAGTCTACCTTTTGGCCTGCTGTACATGAGACCCCTACAGTGGTGGCTCAAGACCAAGGGGTTCTCCCTGAGGCATAGAGGAGAAACAATAATTATCCCACTACAGTATGTGGAAAATAATGTGTTTTTTAACCTTAAACCACATAAACACATTTCATTACACCAAATACACAAAATAATGTTCTTTTTAGCAGCATCACATGACCCCTTTAAAGCTATACTTTTTTGTTTGGGTCATATAACAGCCTAGACAGCAGTTTAGGTACTGCATATTATGCTGCTGTCACTTCATACACAGATCTAATATAAACATGCGATTTCTTGAGGCTTCCGGTTATGGCGACGTGCTGACGAGACGCACGAGTTGGTTCCGCTGTCATTTGTATTAAGTTTTCTTGAATTTTACCCCCGTTTCATTTAAATTTCGTTCACGATTTGTTTTCAAAGTAAAGGTTGTCTGTGATGTTGCCTAAACCAACAATGCAGAAGCCGAAGAAAGCAACCGATATTGCGTCGGATTCCGAGGGCCTGGAAGAAGGGTCACTTGTTGCACATGGCGAAGAAAACTCGTCACCGAGTTATGGAGATCAAGCTAGCGGCTTTCACGCTGACACAAGTGATATTCTCCAAGCAATACATTCAGTGAGAGTTGACATGACTTCTCAATTTGAAACCGTCCTTTTAGCTGTACAAGATGTTAAAAATCAAGTTGCGGAGTGTTTTGGAAGATTGACGCAGACGGAGGAACGCATTTCACAGACCGAAGACTCGATTACTACACTTCAATCGACGACCAACGCTCTCGAGAAGAAAGTTGCAGCACTTACCTGGAAAATAGATGAACTTGAGAATCGCAGTCGACGCTCCAACCTGAGACTCGTAGGTTTACCAGAAAAATCCGAGGGCATTGTGCATTCTTAGAAAGCTGGTTACCTGAGGCGCTAGACATGGAGCCACTACGAAAACCCCTGGCCTAGAGGGCACACAGGATTGGAAGTATGCGAAGATCTGATACGGACAGGAATTCAACACCGAGAGTGATGATCGCTAAATTCTTGGATTACAGAGACAAGGAGCGTGTAATGAATGCGGCCAGAGTGAAGAAGGACGTGCTGTTCCAAAATCACCGAGTCATGTTTTTCCCAGACCTTTCTGCTGAAGTAAACAAGCAACGGAGACAATTCGACGAAGTCAAGAGGAAGCTGCGAGCTAAGGGCCTACAGTATGGATTCATCTTTCCAGCGCGCCTTCGGTTGACGGTCAATGGCCAATCTCGTGTCTTTCAAACTTCATCCGAAGTTGACGCCTTTCTAACGAATATGTAATTTTGAGACATTATATTAACGAATTGTTTACACTCAGAAATATGTGAATAACGGACGATTATTAATAGGACATACTCCTTATAAGGGGACAAAGTCATTTCAGCGGAGCACAGGTGGGATGCAATTCATTGTATCATTTAGATGGGGGAAGTTAGAAGTAAAGTAGTGTGTACATTTGCTGGTGGTTCTCGGCAATTCACAGTTGTAGTGTTTAAATGTTTAAATTGGTTAGTGTTTCTAATTATGTTGTTTTCTAGTTTTACTTTTTATGGTCACAAGGTACAGGTGGAGAGTATTAAATTATCTAGTACTATAGGATATGGCAGGGATTATTGGGGTTAAGTGTATTTCTTGGAACTGTAGGGTGCTGCATACTTTTACTAAAATTAAACAAGTAATGACTAGGATAAAGCAGCTACAGTCTAAAATTGTTTTTCTCCAGGAAACACATTTAATGTCTAAAGACATATGTAGAATACGTAATAGATGGCCTGGTCAAGTGTTTTCAGCTTCATTTAGTTCTCAAGCACGAGGGGTTATTACAATGATCCATAAATCAATTCCATTTCAAGTAGCTAAGACAATACAAGATCCATCAGGTAGATATTTAATTGTTCAAGGGACTTTATTATCTAAATCACTGATTCTTGTCAATGTTTATGGCCCCAACGAGGACATCCCCAAATTCTATAATAACCTCTTTCTGACTTTATCCAGCCTTTCTGGGTTTTATGTAATTGGTGGGGATTTCAATTGTACACTGGAC